CAGATAGCAGAATGTTATTGGACCTTTGTTGGGCCAACAATGCTCCTTATGTTGGGCCACCGTTTGCATTCAACATTGGGCCATCGGTAATTTGCTCATCGGACCTTAATCAAACCAACTTGTTGGCTTATTGTTGGGCCAATGTAACAGTTAATATTGGGCCACTGTTGGCCAATGTATTATTTCAATATTGGGCAAACGTCATTTTTGTACAATTGGGCCATTGTAAGCAATTAATGTTGGGCCAACGGTAATTTGCTCATCGGCCCTTAATCAAACCAACTTGTTGGCTTATTGTTGGGCCAATGTAACAGTTAATATTGGGCCACTGTTGGGCCAATATACTTTTTTCATTGTTGGGCAAACGTCATTTTTGTACATTCGGGCCATTGTAAGCAATTAATGTTGGGCCAACGGTAATTTGCTCATCGGCCCTTAATCAAACCAACTTGTTGGCTTTTTGTTGGGCCAATGTAACAGTTAATATTAGGCCACTGTTGGGCCAATGTATTTTTTTCAATGTTGGGCAAACGTCATTTTTGTACAGTTGGGCCATTGTAAGCAATTAATGTTGGGCCAACGGTAATTTGCTCATCGGCCCTTAATCAGACCAACTTGTTTGCTTATTGTTGTACCAACGAACGGATATTATTGAGCCATTGTTGGGCCACTTATTCTTTCAATATTAGGAAAACATCGTTTTTGGGCCAACGTTGGTTTGTATCTTATTGGCTCTCCATCATGACAACTCATTTGCTCTTCACTGCTGGCTATTTGTCCTCAAAATTGACAAACAAATATATACAATAAGGTTGTACTAGTTTTGTAGTACAGTTTAATGGTAAAAGTCCTTTAATACTATCTATATATCAGGGTTCTCCATCATTTGAGATTTTACTGTGTTGCATATATGCAACTGAATCAAAATTCATTATAATTACCAAAGATTACAAGCACATTAAATTTTCAGTTAGAGATAATTTGTGTGTTTAGATTTTCTAATTATCACAAATCTTACTGTATCGGCAAACTTTTTACTGTGTCGCATGCATGAAATTTGAATCGTTACTGTGTCGGAGAAAATTTTACTGTGTCGGGAGCAACACAGTAAAACAGCTCATGGAGAACCCTGATATATGCTATATATGCTTGATTAACAGTTTAATACATATTCTCAATATCTCATAGAATTGCCATCAACAAGTATTTCATTGTAAGTACATGTAGCTCTACATTAATTAAAAAACTGAGGAAAAAGAAATCAAAATATAAAATTAAATTATAACATACTATAATTTTATTGCTCAGTGCATGAAGAAAACATTAATAAAGAACTAAAAGTTGGTGCTCACTTCAAGCCATACATGTAGGGTTACATGACTGTATACTCCCTCTCTACTGTAAATTTATGCACAAGTTAAGTAAATTACTGGTTTCAATAAGCACGTCTAACAAATAATCAAACCCCCCCCTGTTCTAAAAATAATACTAAAATGAATCCCGTCATTTTGATTACTTACACAAAAATGTTTCTGGCATCTGCATCGTGTTTGTAACCGACAAACAGACACAGAAAAGGGTAGAACTACAGGTATGTCACACTATATTACAGAAAAAAAGTTAGGTACTGCCACTTTCCATCTGATCCCTCTCGTAAGTCTCTTCTTCTCTCTCCCGAGTCTCCTCCTCCCCCTTCTTTTCCTCTCTGTTTGTTTCTTCCTCCCCCATCCCTGTCCATGGCATACCTTAGCTATTCTTTGATTGTGTTCTCAATGTCTTTTTAGAATCTCCAGTAGCACTAAAATTGTAGTATTTGGTACTTAATACATTTGTTACTTTTTCAGTAAAGAGTAAACATACGATTAAATTTACAAGTATATCACTATATGTTTAAGCTGTCAATTAAGGAATAACCATCTTTTTTATTTCATGGTGTGATTAAGTGATTAGCTTGCGTGATGAACGCATTTATGCATAACATTTCTACGCTTGATCATCATCATCACAACGATTTTGATTCAATGTTGCCCCATATAAAATACATGTATTGAAAATTTGTCGTTACACTGAATAAATTTTAAATGAAAGAACCCAATTTATGTTAGTACTGAATTAATTTTGTTTTAACTTCAACAAGTTCAACATTTTCAAAATGTTTGATCATGTACTCGACGTTAAGTGTATATAAGTAAATTAAGTGGTAGACTTCTGAAATGCATTCTACTGGACACAAATTTCAATCTAAATAAGGGGCAAATTATTTATTGTTTTAACTGTATCAAAACACGTTTGTTATTTTATACTTTCATTTATTTTTCTTGTATAGAAACAAAAAAAATTAATCACTAATAATTTATTTTGTTTTGATAAATTATAAGAATTTTAAATTTATTTTAGCTAGCTTGTATTTTCAAGTAGGATTGGTTTTTAGATTCATTTCTGATTGTAGAGACAATCAGATTTGTTAATATACAGATTTGTAACAAATAAATGTTTATACACATTGGCCCAATTTTGGTCCAATATATCGGGCCAACATTGGGCCTAGGAGTAAAATGACACTGGGCCAACGTCATTTGCCAACATCGGCCCAATGTTCTTGTTGACGTTTCCCCAACAATGTCACATTCATTTGGCCAATGTTGGCGCAACGTTGGGCCAATATCTGTAGAAATAACACTCTACATTGGGCAAACGTTGACCCAACATATCGGGCTAACATTGGGCCGATGAGCAAACTTATATTGGGTGAATGTCATTTGCCAACATTGGCCCGATGTAACCAATTACATGGGCCCAACGTTGGCCCAATGTTAGCATGCTACCTGGGGTACAGTGTTGACCCAACAGCACCTGGCCTCTGCACTTCCCCGTGTCTGATTTACACAGATTTGTACATGATATCGTTTAAAAACTAAACGTTAATTCAGCTGTGCCGAGGCAAACATATAAATACTTACAAAGTGGATGCAGATATGCAAGGTATCAGTCTCATTACGCTCGCTCGTGTCAGATTAAAAATGGCGCGGATATTACAAGTAGCCCGGTTGTTGTTTACCCATGATGCTCAGTCAGATTCATGGTACACTGGGCCAACGTAGGGCCGATGCCAATCCCCAAACAAACATTTTCTCTCATGATAATAGTTTTATTATATCATGCCAACAGTTAGCCCAACATTATCGCACCATTATATATAACCAGCTATCAATATTCCATGTTGGGCCATTGTTGGCCCAATCAAGGTAACCCAACATAGATAATAGAACCATTATGTAAGATTGGGCTAACGATGTTCTGCTATCTGGGAATTATTACAAATAAATAAGCATAAACACAATTCAAAAAATAGAATTAAACATTCTTTGGTGCTGTGATCACTTAAGTGCAAAGTAAAAATGTTGAATATATATCTAAACAAAAGCAGGCATCCAATGATAAGCATGGACAAAGAAAGTCCTCTTAATTATTTCAGAATGTGCGAACGTTGTCCCAACGTAAAGCCCAGCAGCTAATTATAATATTAACACCATCAATTAGCTGGCAGTATAATAATTGGACCAACGTTGGCCCAATATAAAAATCCCATCTTTAAAACACCTAAACAAAATACCACTTGTGTGTATTACAAACATTGTGCCAACATTGGGCCAACATAATACTACCAACTTGATGAGACATTTTCTTAAAGGGTGTATTAGAAACATCGGGCCAACGTTGGTCCAACATACTATTTCAACTTGATAAGACACTTTCTTTAAGAGTGTATTACAAACACTGGGCCAACGTTGGGCCAACATAGAACTACCAACTTGATAGGACACGTTCTTTAAGGGTGTATTACAAACAACCAACGATGGGCCAACATAATACTACCAACTTAATAAAACATTTTATTTAAGGATGTATTAGAAACATCGGGCCAACGTTGGGGAAACATTCTACTTCCAACTTGATAAGGCAATTTCTTTAAGGAGGTATTACAAACATTGTGCCAACGTTGGGCCAACATACTACTACCAACTTGTAAATACACTTTCTTTTAGGGTGTATTACAAACATTGGTCCAACGTTGGGCCAACACCAGGATCCTTCCTTCCTTGGAAACTAAAGTGAATGGAAGTTGCTTACGTTGGACCAAAGTTGGGCCAACATAGGAATTCCGTCATGGTCGACAAGGTTGACTTGGTATCATTGGTCCAACGTTGGCCCAACGTTGTTCCCCCAACACCAACCATACAACCTTTAACAAATGTTGGCCCAACATAGTCATGCTATCTGGGATCAGATGTTATTGGTTTTTCAGAAACAAGACTAACCATCAATGATGAACAGAATTTTATGATGGAAGGTTACTTGACTTTGTTTAATCATGAAAAGAGAAGTGACAGCAATCGGCCTCATCATGGAACAGCATTATACGTTAAACAAGACCATTTGATGACATGTATCTCAAAATTCAGTAACACTTTGCTTGAATTCATCATAGCTTTAATAAATTTCAGAGACCTTGGAGAAGTGCAGATAGTTGTTTTATACAAGTTCCCAGCATGTTCTTTTAAAGAATTTGAACGTGAAGTTATGTTACACTTAAAACCTTTTGTAGACACAGAGAAAAAATTGATAATTCTTGGAGATTTCAATTTTGATTTGTTTACAGGTCACAAAGAATTTCTGAACTTTATGAAGTTGAATTTAAAATGCACACAATTGATAAAAAAGGTAACTTATGATTCAGGTTCACAACTTGATTTGATTTTCACAAACTTCCCTCATTGTGAAACTGATGTGATTGAGGCATATTGGTCGGACCATAAAATGATTTACTGTACATATTCTTTATAAATCTGATATAAGGGACGCAAGAGTATTCATTTGGGGGAGATACGTCATCTTGTCCCCTCTCCCACCTTCCAATATGCCACTGTCACTTAGTGACATTTGGTACATTGATTACTGTATACAGGGTTATATTCGCCCTGGCTGTGTTATTTTCAGCCTTTCACACAATTTTTCAGCGTTTTAAATTATACCCACTCACAGTTTTATTGAAGAAATCATACTGTGTTCTTTTAATTTACCCTGTTTTAAATTTGTCTATACCTCAAAGATGGATGACAGTGGGAAAAATAAAATGGGGCGAATATTTCCCTGTATACAGTATCATATAGACACCAATTACTTGATGTAAATGTTGTTTGTTTTTAGTAATATGTATACTTTAAACTATTTTTTATATGCATGCATGGAATAGCCTAAAAAATTTGCTGCAAATAACTCATTAATGATCACAAAACAATTGTACTAAACAGGAATCCTTCATAATGACTTTTTATTGTGGATTAATTTTCAACAGACAGTTAATAAATGTACAAATAATTGAATGTTGCATGTTAAGGGAAATTCATGTACCATCAATAACAATCATTCATGTCAACAACAAAAAATGATGATCATTGTACATATTATGTGTTAATTAATATTTAGAAATTATGAATATACTGTATTGATGTTTGTCAGTTAACAGTTTTACCCTTACTGTTTAGATTCTTTTCTTTAATGATTATACATATGAATATCATGAACTTGTATTTTGAATACCGGTATACATGAAATATTTTGAGATTACTTGAAATGTTTACAAAGTTTACTTTAAAGAAAATAATGAGTTCTGCTAAATAATGATTAGAGTTGTACTAGAAATATACACTAGCATCAAGTAATTGGTATCTTTGATATATGTTCAACACTGTATTCTATAATTTTATGAAGTAAATTCATCGAATATTACCGGCATCTGTTCATATAAAATTTGCTGTATAGAAATATTGTAAGTTTATAAATGTTACTATGTCTTGTGTCATTTAGTCCCTGCTGAACAATACTGGAGTACATGAGAGTATAAACTTTTAATATGAATTAATATTTTTTCCAGAGCAAATATTTTTTTTTACATCATTTTGTTTTGAAATCATGTATGTTTATTGTATATATGAAACTTTGTGTTGAAATAATTTGACTTGAATTTTTATCTTTTTTAATTTTTTTTGTCTTAAAATGTTTAAGTTTATTGTATTTTTCTATTTCAAATTATTCAGAAATTGCTTTAAACATTTACTTTTACTAGCTTTAGTTTATACCTGCGTAGAATAGGAAAGCAACCTGCATAATCAGACAGAAACTGAGTCAACTCATTCTAAGTTACTAGTATATTGCTGATTTCAGTTAACTCCATATTAATTGATATTTATTTTTCTCCAGCATTGAGATATTTAATATATGACCACCATTATATTATAATTTCATGAGAATCGACTTATACCCAGGTAAGTATGAAAAGAGGGGGTCAATGGCCAGCCCGTAAAGGGAGGTAAACCTACCTCTTTATAAAATTACAATTTTTCCTTTAAAAGAGAGGGAAAAAAAGGTGGATCACTATAATTTCTCATGACTGGGCTTTAAAATCAAAATTATTGATTGCAAAAATCTTAATCACTCCATTTTGGAATAATACCATCAAGTTTAGGTTATCTGATTCCTGCAGGTACTCCAATTACCGGTAAATGTTACTTATTAAAAATTCTTTAAAAATAATAGTTGATGTTCAAAGTCAGAGTCTGTAGACCATCATATAATTATTCACTTTCAGTTGCAATCTTTCCAATTCTCGCTTTCGTTATGTATAGGAAAGATTTACTATTACCTGGTAATTGAACTTAAAAATAAAAACAGTATATTTCGTATCTTTCAAACGATTACTTTGATGTATTTAACTTTCCTCTTAACAAATTTTGAACTGTTTACAAAGCATCTATGTTTACATGTAATGTTATTGTCAGGAAGTTTTGCATTTCTGTCACAAAATTGTTGCAATATTGCATATTTGATACTGTGTGCATATAATGTCTGTTGAAGTCATATGAAATTTAGATAGTTGATTGTTATTAACGCTTCTTAGTTTTTATTATATTCTCTACTAATTGTCTGATAAATTTTCACCAAATCTGTTGAATTTTGTAAAGAAATAAAAGTAAAATCTTATTCACATTTTGTGTTTTTATTATAACTATCATAGCTAATGTTACACCACCCAAAAAGGAGAGAACTGTTATTGTTCAATAAAAGCATATTACACTTCAGACTTGACAGTACAAGTGCTATATATGTATTCTGCAGAAATACTGAGATTGATCTCTTTATGACTAAATTGATAATGAGGTACACTGTAGGCATTAAGCACTGGTTGAAAAGAAAGCCATTCTAAGCAATTTTATGCTCAGATCAAGCCCAATTACAGAAAATGAATAAAAAGAAGAATTTCATACTCTAACATCTACATGCATAATTCTTGCAAGTAAAGGTCTTACACTCAGGTGAGCGATGTGGCCCCTGGGCCTCTTGTTACTAATGGACTTGTGGGAGTGCTGACTTTTACAGTTGACAGCTAACTTTTACACTAGGTACGGTTCGGAAACTCATTTACGATAAAAATATTTAGTTCAACATTTAAAATAGCAGGCTTATTCAAGGCTCTAATAAGTTACCCTTGAAAAAAAAACAACGACAAACTCCCTACCCTCAACTCCCGGCTTAATTCTAAGGGCCCCTAACACCATTGATTTCATACTGATGAGGAATCACGAACAATAGATTAATCGAATAACGACTGGTTAACCTTATCACTTTAAAAGACCGTATTTTTACTTCTCTAAAATGGTTTTGATCTAAGATTCTTATGTTGATAGTGTGTATTTCTTGTACAAAGAAATGTTTTTTATTTTATACGCATGGTCTTTTCTTCTACTTTTTAAATTGATGGCATGTTTTGCTTTACTTTTTTCTTGGACTCTAGTTATGTTTTGTTCACCTTTCAAATAAAATCTAGATATTTGTATTTTCAAATTTTTGTTATAAAGGTGCATAGAAACAGATATGAAGTTAATACTTTCTGTATAATATCACGACTTATATCACCACTTGTAATAGCAGTTCACACGAAAATAAATTAAAGATCTTATTTCATCTTAAAGTTATTGAAACTTAAAACTTTTGGATGGGTGTGATTGAAACATCCTTGCACTTTCACAAATTTTAATTTTATTTTTAATACTTGGGAAAAGTGGCGATCTTGTAGCACTGTGTATTAATGAAAAATATTAAAACTATAATCCAAAAAATTCAGAGTCAAACTGTTCGAAAGCAAAACATACACACAGTATATTGTCAGTCCGTGGAGTTTTGGTGAGCAGACTTTAAAAATTGAACACCCGGTGAATCGTAAACATTAACAATAACAGGGTCCGTGTCCTGTTTACAAAAACTGTATGTTTAACGGGTGTGTTTAAATTATTAAAATATGTACATAGCACTACTCGCGAAATGACAATACCCGCAAAAAGGGTTTTGCTCTCGTACATTTCTACACTGAATATTATTATTTTTCTGGATTAAAGCTTTGTTATTTTTCATTAACACACAACGAATTTGCCTTAATATTAAGAATAAAATTTAAATTTGTGAAAGTACAAGGATGTGTCAATCAAACCCATCCAAAAATATAAAGTTTCAATAACTTTAAGATGAAATAAGATTTTAAATATATTTTCATGTGAAATGCTGTTACAATATATAAGTCGTGATATTATACAGAAAATATTAACTTCAAATCTGTGTCTATGCACCTTTGATATCTTCTCTGCAAATTTTTGGAGTACAATCCCTCATCGTATCTCAACATAAACATTCTTTACAAGTTTATGCTTACCTTTTCTATACATTTTCGTCATCAGTTGCTTCATCTTGTCAGGAGATCTATTTGAAAATTTTGGAAGGTCTTTCACTGACTCAGTGGCTTCTTTTAATTTTCTGAAGCTACATTTATCTACTATTTCATCTATAACTTCGTCAGTCAAATCCACATTTAAAAAGTTGGCTAGTCTTTTGGTTTCATCTGTTGGATTCTGTAAATGAAAAAAGAATTAGTTTTTTGATTAAAACTAAGAGAACTGAAATTGTATTCATGTGGATTTCTTGATTTATGCTACATGTACAATTTGTATTGTACAATTGTATCGGAATGGTTTTTTAAAAAATATATTTTTTAAAGCAATCAACTTAAAGCACAAATATATATATTGTACATGTACATTTAGTGGTGTATGTGCATAATAAGAAAATAAGAGCTGTGATTTTTGTGTGATGTGATTTCCGTAGTAATTAGGCCCAGTCATCATAACCCTCTTTTATATCTCCGAAACTAAATAGACAAAAGACAACAAAACAGTTTGTTTATTTTAATAGTATTTTTCTAATTTTGTTTGTCTTTGATTTCAACATATTTTAACAATCAAGATTGATGAATTCTACATTGTTTAACGTCCCTTGAGAATTTTTCACTCATATAGAGACGGAAACAATCAAGAAAAATACAACTGCTTAACTAATTTGTGTCATTAAATCACATGATAATACAGTAATTGCCTCCTCCATAGATGTATGTACATGTATGACAATTTAGACAACCTTAAGGTAAATATTCACATGGTCATTTGGACTCTTTGAATATAATATCCCTGAAGTTCCTTAATCGATGGAAACTCAAAACCAGCAAAAATTTTAACAATGTCGTGTCGTGTTTTTTAAAAATTATTTGAAATTAAATAAAAATATACAGAAAATGTGTTATTTACGATGAAATTAATTTTTTCCCACATATTTTGAACCTGATTAATCATGCTTTTCTATACTTTTTTCCCGTGGGGATCCGGGTTAGAATAGGTCCTCAGTACCCCCTTGCTTGTCGTAAAAGGCGACTAAATGGGGCAGTCCTTCGGATGAGACCGTATAAACCGAGGCCCCGTGTCACAGCAGGTGTGGCACGATAAAGATCCCTCCCTGCTCAAAGGCCGTAAGTGCCGAGCATAGGCCTAAATTTGCAGCCCTTCACCGGCAATGGTGTCGTCTCCATATCAGTGAAATATTCTGGAGAGGGACATTAAACAGTATACAATCAATCAATCATTAATTGGCTTTAAACTTTATCTATTACTTTTTGTGTAGTCGATAAATAAATCTGTTATTGTTTTAAATCTTTGAAACGCGATTGATTTAAGTTTTGTAATTTACAGATATTTCCCATCTTTATATTAAGTAATAAAACAAAATACTAGTAAGAATGAAATAATAGAAAATGTAATTTTTGAATTTTAGTTAGCTGATCTCGGCAGATAAACTCCTTATGATTATTACTTTAATAGTGTGTTGAAATACCTACGGTATTTACATATTAATAATGCTTAGTTTGAATTGACATTGTTGTTAATCGATGTTATTTTCTCGATAATAGTTCTAAAGTTTTTTAAAGCAATTTACAATATACACAAAAGGTAATTTGTGCCACCTGTACTTCAAATTATGCCTGATATAATATTAATATTATTAATTCCGATTCTTATACTGTCCTTTTGAATATGGAAATACTCTGTGTTATGTGGTCTGTGATCTTGTCACCGGATATTAGCAGAAAAAAAATAAATAAGGAAATCTTCAAATTCTTTTGGTTGTCCTCTACCGACCGAATGGCTTCAGAATGATCCAACTCAAAACATGCACGAGCTCGAGATAATTATTTGTAATGCATTCCGGAAAATAGATTTTGAAAATTCAGCATTGATTTGAATTTTTTTTAAATAATGCACCGACCTATATTGTTCATCTCGAGTCGGGGGAGAGCAAACAAACATTATTTTAAAGTTAATCCTACATCAAATTTATTCTTAATTGGAAGATCAACTATTCCATGATCTTTTTAATCGTCCAGGACGAGTGGGTTACAGCTCTTTTGTTAACCTAGGTCAATTTGTTATCAATTGCTGTTAATGGAAATTTTAAGTAAATACACTGCACGAAAACTGTTTCACGCTCAGAATTTAAACGTTCTTAGAATATGAAAAAACGAGCCTAAATTTGCAGCACAGCATCTTTTGGAAATTTTAAACTTTAAGTTGGAAACAGAGCCCTTTTTATATGAAAAGTGTGAACACCTCATCCATCAGTGCCTTTTTATCTTAGCCCATGTATCTACTTCAAATTTGAACTCACTAATGACAGAGCAAGGGAAATTTTATTATGTCAGGCTTATGTCAGGCTTTCTGACACATTGCTTTTGCATCCGATTTACTTGAAAATTTCGGAGAAGGTATATCTTTATCTAAACCTTAAACGTTTTTTTTTATAATTTTTTTGAAATTCACTTCCGGTCGGAAGTTATCGCCCTTTGATCGAAATTTTGAGGACCTCCATGCCTGTGATGGAACTCAAAAACGACTCAAGCTAGGAAGCTGATTTTTTCATGATGATAGAGGACATGTTGCCATATTTTCCGGAAGTGCCTAGTATGGAAGCTCGGTAGGGGTCGAAATTTAGGACACGAATCATATATACTTTTCACACTTCATTTTGTCAGGCTTTTTATGCATCTAAAAAGAAAATTTTACAAACCTTTTTCATACTTTCATAGTGCACTGTAAAAATTGCACCTTGTTTGTCCGCCGCTTCTGCTCTTTCAAATTCTTTTTCGTACGAAAACCAACCTCCCATATGCTGAACTTTAAAAGAAAAAGTAATAACGACTTTTTAAAAAATCAAAGATGTTGCATAATTTAAATTTTTTCTTAAGGTTTTTATTTGTTTACAGTAAAAAGAATTCTTAAATATGATTGAATTTAATTTATCCACCGAAAAATAGACACCGATTTCAGGAAATTAACATATGAAGAAATGGGGGAAAAAATAAAGCCATGAAACATCATGCTGATTATTAAAGTTGCTTTACACATTTTATACTATTTTTAAGCTCAAGGGCATTTAAATTTCTGTGAAAGTTATTAAGTAAAAAAGTAATAAATCTTGAAATGATTTCATATCAATTTTCAAACATTTATTTAAATGCTGGATTGCATGTGACCTATTCGCCTTTAAGTTAGATTATTTTTTTTTTTTGGCTCCGTTAATTGTACCCAATGAAGTTTATGGATGCCGAATAATAAAGGATACAAACATGAAATACATGTTTGATTGATGAATTTTCTTTTACTCCCAATAGAGAATTTTTTACTCATATATATTGAGATTTCATCATATACCAGTGAAGGGCTTCAAATTTTGACCTTTACTCAATATTCAGGGCCATTGACTGATTGAGCAGTGAGGGATCTTTATCTTGCCAACGCCTGTCGTGACACAGGGCCTCGTTTTTAAAGTCTCGTCCGAAGGACCCGCAACTTTCACTTCAGAATGCAGAGAAGGCGAAGGAGCATGCAGTTGTTACCCTTTTTTGATCGAATCTGGTCAGTTGTGGCCGAGATTCGAACTCACGACCTACAGATCATGGATCGAACACTCTACCAACTGAACTAGGTACCGTGATCGGTTGAAAAACATGAAAGGCGCGAAAATAATTAGAATAAATATACTTCAGACTGTAATGAATATGTACCAATAATATTTCGATGGAATTTCTGTATTTCTATCCATTCTGTTGATTTATCGATGAAAGGCAGGCTATCGATTAGTTGAAGTGTGTCACGTGAAGGGGGTATATTATTTGTACCTACTAAGAGTCATTTGACAATCATTACTTGGTCCATACGGAGTTATCGTTCTTTCGAAACACTTCGAGCAACTTAAGTTCACGAGGTCTGACAAGTAAAAAAGTTAGAGATTACGTACATTTATTTTTAAGAGACAAGATAGAACCTTTTTTCTCCCTTTTACTGAAAGTATTTCATTCTGTCGTTACATTACAACAGCAGGATATACATGTACTCTCAAAACGATATAACGTAACACGATATAACGTCATAAAGGAAATTTTTTTTTAATGTATGAGAGTGATGTTAAAAAACCCTGTCACTACAAAACTAATTAACAAATATTACCTGGACCTACGAATATCTTTTCATAGAATGTGTTGAAGACCATTGAACCCCCATGCAATCTTTTAACATGATAATACATCGACACGGCAACATCTTTAGGATTTCTCAGAACATGGACAATCTTTCCGCCATTTTCTATATGCTGCTTTGGTAACCACCTGTAAGGTACATGCGTGTTCAGTGGTCTTGGAGAGGCAAGATTATTAACTATGCTCATGTCCGGTAGAGCTTCCAAAAACTGAAATTCTTTGGTTTCTTTCATGTATTCGGCTTTCTTTTTGAGGATCATGCAGACGATTTCCCATATCCAGTGCGTTCCTGTTAAAATAATGTTGTTGTTTTTTTTTAATTTGATTTTGTTTGATATTAATTTCTTTTATTTTGTTGCTTTCAATAATATGATTTAATTATCTTTGTTAATGATTATATGTGTAATCTATAGGGGGCAGTACAAGAGAGAAGAGAAGAGTAAGAACCTGAAAGTATAATAGTAATTTGAGCGAATTTTGATTATAGCTGAATAATTTCATTTTAGTTGTAACACGCCATTTGATTGGTTAAACGGTTTTATCCATTTTTTATAACATAACTTGCCAACGTCACAATGAGTAACGTTATAAACGTGTTACTCCGCTTGACGTTAACTTTCAAAATATGCGACATTTGAAGCCTTTTTCCGGCTTCGCGGTTTATAAAGCGTAAACTGCCCCAAGTTATGTTATATCGTATAACAAAAGTTGAAATAAGCTTCATTCCTTAAAGAACAAAAAAAAAACTTAATGTATCTTTTTGTTTTTGTAATATGTCCACATGTCATGCATTTTAACAGAAAAATTACTCAACTTTATACGATTAAATTCAAAAGCTGTGGATGTATAACAATATGTAGACAGTCTGTCGATCATAATTATTTTTTTTTATCTCGACAAGCATATTTCTGCTAGCATGTACATGTATGACTTAGTAGAATATTTTGTAGCTTTCTATCATAAAAAAAGTTTGCTAGTGCAATAATCTTTCTTTTATATTACTTAAATGAATAACTTAACAAAAAATTAACAAAGATTTAAGTTACATGTATTTTCTGATTTGGCATAAATTCTCAACGAATATACTGTTACAATTTCAATTCCATAACTAGAGGTACTGTGAGCAATAAGCTCACTAAATAATACCCCCCGCCCCCCATATGAACATAATGGCAGTATCCATGTTTTGCTCTGGAAAATTCAAAATATATGTCAGATCAAAAAGGTCACAATGTCAATATGTAATACAGATTCTGTGAAAGTTTCATTAAATTTCCTTCAGTGGTATGAGAGGAGTTGCGGATAAGCGATGGATACCCCAAAGCTTAACAGACGGACGGACGGACGGACAGACACACGGACAAACCGATTACTATATACTAGTACCCTCCCACTTTTCAAGCGGGGGTATAAAAATGGTTATAAACTAAAAGCTGAAGTAACGCAATTAAAATACTGTAGAGGTACTTTTATTAGTCCCATCGAACTTAATTCAAATATAAGGCATATAAGGAGAATCTTAAGATATCCGCGTAATTAACTACCAGCGGATTAAACAGAAAAAGAGATTCCGCGGAATTATGACCCCGTGGAAAAAAGTACGTTTACAGTAGGCTCTTCAGAGACTTCATAATTCAAATTATCTACATGTAAATGCGCTCTTATCATGGTAGTATATGCTATGATGTATAGTGTTTCTAATACACAGGAATATAAAAGGAAAAAAGCACAAATTTGTATCTATGTGTTCATATTTTACACGAAGCAAACAACTTATATACGTTTGCGCAGTTTTTGATATTAATGTGTATTGGAAACACTGCATGTGACAGACATAAAGCAAGTGCAGTCTTTACCTGACTTTGGATAGGTAGCCAGTATGATGTCATCCTTTCTACATTCTAAATTTCTTATTTCTTTAAACCTTTTTTCAGCATCTTCGATTAAATGAGGAAAAGGCGGTACACTCATCCCGTCAAACACGGGGAACGGTTTTTCTTCGCCATTATTCTCCATTGTCGGGTGTAAGATATAGTATGTACCTGAAAGCTAATATACTGAATAAAGTTCTACTTTTTAACCGGAGGCATTACAATTTATCACTTTATTTACATCTTATCATTCGTTTCAACATGTTCCAGATACCAACCTAAAATAATTTAAAGTACATGATCTAATATCGTGTGTTTGTCTGTGTGTATAATTATAATCCTTACCTTATATCATTTGCTATGTGTATATCATCCGCAGATATTTGTATTAAACTCTCCTGAATTACAATGTGTGATAAGAAACTTGTTTATTGTTACAGAAAACACGTGGTGTGCTTACACAGTTTTAAGGTCTATACAAAGTTTAATGAACAATTGTAATGTGAATAATCGCAATCTTAGACATCCATACCTACTAGTTATTTCTAGTAATTTCTTAATTGTTATGGTTTCTTTATAAATCTGTTTCGATATCAGTTTTTTTCCTGTATTATCATATTAAGGCATGATATCAGTGCTTTATTGTTTATCACCAGATATTGTGTTTAAATACATTTGGGAACACCAGAATTACGATCAGGTGTCAAGGTGAAATAATTAACTATCCCCTTTTGACTAGACAAACCTAGCATGAGCCCTCGTAACGGTAATAATCACAGCGGGGGGATAAGGAGGGGTTACGGGGTTTTTAACCCCTCCCCTTTTGATTCAAGAAAAAAAAATGAGAGAAGAGAGTCCAAAATATTTGGTAATTTAATATAGATTTTGATAAATGAAAGGCTAAATGTAGTAATATATAAAGAAAAATATAGGTTGTGAAAAAATTGATCCACTTCCAACGAATTAGGATTCGGGTTCGGAGAATTATTTTCTCCTTTTGTCAATTTCAGGCAATCGAGTTCTTTTCCTTGCCCCTTCCCCTCCTTGAATAATAAACCTTCTCTTAAGCATTTCTATTAAGTAATTGTTGAACGAATGTTACATGTATAACAACTCTCATTCCCCCCTAAAAAATGCTAGATCCGCGCTGAAATCCGTAGTTAAAATTTTAAAGAATCAATTACAGTTCTTAACGTTTGGTCTGAAACATGTAAGTCAAAAAACAGTTCACATATTCTGTCGGCAAACAACATCATCATAACAACCATAAGATGTGCGAATATAAATGACTCAGATGAAACCCTGTAACATTTGCATCAAACATTCTTCACATATTACGAGTCTAATAATAAAAAAAAGCCCCATAATTTTATTTTAGTCTCTATCAGATTTGCACTTAATTGACTTAATAAACATGAATATCATTCAACATTTCACAAGGTTTTAATGTTATTTTACACTCAGATTTGCATTGTCTTGACTTTACATATACGTCAAGAAATGCATATCATGTGTCTGTATAATGATTTTTTTTTTCAAATTGCAATTGAATTTTAGATTCTTTTATTTCTTTTTTGAATAATGCATCGAAGTGTTCATTAAGAGCTACAGTAACTGTAAAATGGTTCTTCCAATCCCCGATCTCCCCTGGAAAGGAAAAGATATCATTTCATATAACTATACAGGAGTATACAGTAGCCCCCAAAAAACCCCCACACATTAATAAAATGAAAAGTCATTTATGGAGAAAATTGTAAATTCGGGATATATTTGATCATCCCTTAAAATATTTTTGATATGATCTGCTTTGAAATTTCCTTTTCTGAGATTCTAATAATGACTTTTATGTTTGGTTTCTATCTTTCAAGTAAATGCCTAACATGTGCATTTTTATCAATTTTACATTTACTTTAAAATGCCGAAATCTCATTTTGATCTGATCGCAACATCTTCACGGAGTTTTATTTACCTTTTCTGTACATTTTCGACATTCTTTGTTTAACCTTGTCTGGGTCATTGCAATGTGCATTTTTTGGAAGGTCCTTCATTGCTTCAGTAGCCTCTTTTAACTTTTTTGAAACTACATTTATCTACTATTTCATCTATAATTTTCGTCATTCAAATCTACATTTAAAAATTTGGCTAGCCTTTGTGTTTCATCCGTTGGATTCTGTAAAAGAAAATGAAAAATAGTCTTTGATAAGTAAATTGAAAATTTCTGCAAGTTAATTTACATGTGTAATTGATTTAAGCTAGATGACATTGTGTGACCTAAAAACAAAGTAAAACTAAAGAATAAAATTTTATGTATATGGATTTCTTTCTGTATAAATGATTGTGGATTTGTATGAAGCCCTCTCAGACCCTGATATATTGGTTATGGTTGTGAAAAGCATCCGTTTGTAACGCCACAAAATATGTCTTAATTTGACTGGATGCCTTAAGCTTTATTGGTTGAAACGTTTTACGCAGTAACACAATACGACTTCGTTTGTAAAGAACCTTTAAATTGCATCTTTCTTATGAAACACATAGAGATAACAAACAGTATTCAAGATCAAAAGTCCAATAAACAATTCAAAATAAGAGCAGAGCAAACACAGACCTCCAAAACAGAGGTGGGATCAGGTGCCATGGAGGAGTGGGCATCCCCTGCTTACCAGTTACACCCGCCGTCATGATCGGAACATAACAGAAACATCCGTCGTCAATTATAAATAATGGACTAACATTTAGTATGAAAAACGTTAGTCAGCATTTGACTCAAAAAGTTACGTACACTATCTCATGCATCTTGCAAATTAGTTAACAATGACCTTTTGAGATGACAACAGAACATGGTTTTAGTTTTTTTTGTGAGTGGATATTTTGGGCTTTGTACCTAAGTGATATTTGTATTCCTTATAATAGAACAAGATAAAACAGGTCTTGTAATGTGTGAGATTCTAGTATCCGACACGTTGCAACTATGAGGAAATCTTACATACCCTTTGTCATACTTTCATAGTGTACTGAAAAAATTGCACCTTGTGTGTCCGTTGCTTCTGCTTTTTCAAATTCTTTTTCGTACGAAAACCAGCCTCCTATACGCAGAGCTTCAAAAGAAAGTTACTTTGTGTTACTTTCTTTTTCTTTAAAAAATGGTGTACAAAGTATATTTTATATGTAAGTATATAAACTCATTTATAATGTTATTCTTCATATATTTAATGAACGCATAGCCACCTATACAACGTATTGACATGCATGTGAAATATATTTATGGGGAAAAGATACTAAATAATAATGAGGTTAAAGCTGCAGGTGTTTATATGCTTTT